TTTACCTGGGATATTTAGGAAAGATTTCTGGGAGAGTTGGTTTTTGTTTTGGATTTGGGAGAGTAAATGAGAAATTTGGCAGATGAAAGTGACAAGTTGGCCTGAGGTGGTACATGCCTGTAATCCCAGCCACATGAGAGGCTGAGGCAGGAGGACTGCAAGTTGGAGGCCAGCCTGGTCAATTTAGTGAGACCATATCTCAGAATAAAAAATAAAAGAGCTGGGATATAGCTCAAGGCTACAATTCACCTTGGGTTCAAGGTAAAAAAATGATAAGAATAGAAAAATAGTACTTACCCCATAGGGTTGTTGGGATGATGAAATAAATTTATGTATACAAAAGCACTACGAACCATTTTTGTGTGTGTGGTGCTGGGTATCAAACCCAGGGCCTCATGCATGCTAGGCAAGCACTCACCACTGCACTACATCCACAGTCCAATAATAATAATAATAGTAACAAGTGGTACTGGGAACTGAACCCAGGGACTTTTACCAGTGAGCTACATTCCCAATCCTTTTTATTTTGAGAGAGGGTATCACTAAGTCATTGAGGGACTTGCTGAATTGCTGAGGCTGGCTTTGAACTTGCTACCCTCCTGTCTCAATCTCCCAAGTCACAGGGCTTATAGGTGTGTGCCACTGTCCCAAGTCCAAGAACCATATTTGATGCATGAAAAATAATATATAAATGTCAGACCTTTGCTGGGCATGGTGGCACATGTCTGTAATCCTAGCAATTTGACCACAAGTTCAAGGCCAGTCTCAGCAATTTAGAGAGCTTGCCTCAAAATTTTAAAAAAAATAAAAAAAGGACTGAGGTCAGAGTTGTGGCACACATCTGTAATTCCAGCGACTCCAGAAGCTGAGGCAAGAGGATTTCAAGTTAAAGAGGAGTCTCAGGTTGCCTAGCTTGGCAGCACATTCCTGCAATCTCAGAGGCTGAGGAAGTAGGATCCCAAGTTCAAAGCCAGCCTCAGCAATTCAGTGGGGGCCTAAGCAATTTACTGAGGTCCTGTCTCTAAATAAAATATAAAAAATGGCTGGGGATGTGGCTCAAGGTTAAGTGCCCCTGGGTTCAATCCTCATTATCAAAAACAGCCCCCCCACAAACAAAAATAAAATTTTGAAACCACACACACACACACACACATACACACACACACAAACAAAACAAACAAAACAAAAAAACAACCTCAGCAATTTAGTAAGGCCCTAAGCAATTTAGTGAGACCCTGTTTCAATTAGTAAATAAAATAAAACAAAAATGACTGGTAATGACCAAATGACCAATTTCCAGCATCCAAAATAAATAAATAAATAAATAAATAAATAAATAAATAAAAGTAGAGTTGCTCACTTGAGCACTTCAGATATTCTAACAAAAGCCAGATGTGGTGGTACACACTTGTAACCCTAGCAACTAGGGAGGCTGAGACCAGTTAAGCAATTTAGAACAGCCCTAAGCAACCTAATGGAGACTTTGTCCATCCGCCCCCCCCCCTCTTTTTTTTTTTTTTTTTTAAAGTGCTGGGGAAGTAACTTAGTGGTGAAATGCCCCTGAGTTCAATCCTTATTTCTGTTGTGGCCTGTGGGTGTATCCAAAAAATAAGGTAAAAATTCTGACAAAATAGTTGGGGGTGTAGCTCAGGGATAGAGTGCTTACCTAACCAAGTATGAGGCCTGGGTTTCAATCTCAGCACTGGAAAAAGAAAAAAGAAAAAAAGAAAAAAGGAGGAGGAGGAGGGGAGGAGGGGGAGGAGGAGGAGGAGGAGGGAGAAGAGAGAAGAGAAAATTGTGGTAATCTTAGGGATTTTCACCTGGTAAGTGTTCCAGAGTATTTGTTAAATGACCTGCAACTGAAAAAAAAAAAAAAAAAAAAAAAAAAAAAGCATAACTGAACCCCCTCTTGTGACTTGTTGTGGTATTGCAAAGCTTATGATTCCATTAGTTGGGCAAAATGTCAATGTTGGTTATAAAATAAAAATAATTATTATTAAGCGCCTGGTTTTGTCACATATAAAGTGTTCATACGGGGCTGGCATGTAGCTCAGTGGTAGAGACCTTGCTTAGCATACACAAGGCCCTAGGTTTGATCACCAGCACTGCCAAAAGGAAGAAAAGCTCTGAACTACACACAGCACTTTTATCACAAAGCAGACATTTTGGCAGACACTAAATCATTTTAAATCTCAATGAGATTTTCTTGTGAGATTTTCATTTAAGATGAAAGAACTGTGTGCCAGGATAACACACCTGTAACCCCAGTGATTTGGGAGGCTGAGGCAGGAGGCTTGCAAGTTCAAAGCCAGACTCAGCAACTTAGTGAGGCCCCTCCAAACCTCAGTAAGAACCTGTCTTTAAAAACATACAAACAAAAGGCTGTAGATGTGGCTTAGTGGCCCCTGGGTTCAATCTCTGGTACAATAAATAAATAAATAGAACTGGGGTTGTTGCCCAGTGGTTAGACACCCCTGAGTTCAATCTCTGGTATCATAAAAAATAAGAGGAAAAAAACTGAGACTTGATTGATTATAATGAATGACCTATCCAAGCTCCCACATGTACCTAAGTTGAGTCAAGTGTTTCATATATTTGTGCCACAGAAGGACAGAAAACCTGTAGGCAGTTGCACTACAGAAATGGCAATGTTGGACTGGTGTTGTAGCTCAGTGGTAGAGTGCTTGCCTAGCATGTGTGAGGCATGGTTCAGTCCTTAGCACCACATAAATTCAAGTAAGTATATTGTGTCCACCTACAACCAAAAATACTTTTTAAAAATGGCAATATCGTTGTAGTCTGTGAACTACTTGCTGTATATAAGTCTCCATATTTCTGCTTTCTTAATTATGAAATGGGAATGGAGCTGGGTGCAACGCACCACACCTGTAATCCTAGCTATTCAAGAGACTGAGACAGGAGGATCACAAGTTCAAGGTCAGCCTGGGGAACTTAGCAAGACCTTATCTCAAAAATAAACTAGAGCTCAGTGTGGTGGTGCATACTTATAATCTCAGTGGCTCAGGAGGCTGAGGAAGGAGGATTGTGAGTTCAAAGCCAGCCTCAACAAAAGTGAGGTGCTAAGCAACTCACCGATACCCTGTCTCTAAATAAAAAAAAAAAAAAAAAAAAGAGGGGCTGGGGATGTGGCTCAGTGGTTAGTGCCTCTGAGTTCAATCCCTGGTACCCCCAAAATAAAACAATACAAAAAACTAAAAAAAGGGACTGGGATGTAGCTCAGTGGTAGAGCACTCCTGGGTTCCATTGCCAGTACCATAAAATAAATAAATAAAATGAAATAAAATGGAGATGGTATTGAGTGTTGACAGTACTCTTGCCTAAGTGTTAATGTTAAGGTCAACACACAATGATTCAGCTACTCATTCAGTTTCCTCATAAGGAAGTTTGTGGAAGCACTATTTTTGGAGCAAAACCAAAATAGAAAACAAACTCCCCAACTCTCAAAACCCTGGAAATTAATTCATTTTTTATATATATATATATATATATATATATATATATATATATATATATAATATATATGTGTGTGTGTGTAAATATATGTATACACATATATACCAATGTAAAGTATATACATATATACATATGACATTATGAACCCATAAATATACACATATTATGAACCCATTTAAAAATTAGAACCCCCCCAAAAAATGTTTGAAGCCAGCTAGGGTGTATACTTGTAATCTCAGTGATTTGGGAGGCTGAGGCAGAAGGATCCCAAGTTGGAGGCCAGCCTGGAAAATTTAGCAAGACTGTCTCAAAATAAAATATAGAGAGGTAGGGATATAGCTCAGTAAGAGTATTCTTGGATTCAATCCCTCCTCTGTTCAAAATTCCAATGACTCTCCATTTCACTGAGCAAAAGCCAAAGCTATTTATGTTTAAAAAAAAAATTTTTTTTTTTTTAGTTATTAATGGATCTTTATTTTATTTATTTATATGTGGTCTGAGACTGGAACCCAGGGCCTCACACATGCTAGGCAAGTGCTCTACCACTGAGCCACAACCCAGCCCCGCTATTTATGTAATCTATAATACTAACATCTCTACCCTTTTCTAATTTCATCTCACGTACTATTCTCCCTCCAACCCCTCAGAGACCTTTCTCTAGTTGTTCTAACACTGGAGGCAGCCCTCTGTCTCAGACCTTTTGCAAAACCTCACACTTTGCTGGAGATGCTATTCTGCTAAATTATTCCTACTCCTTCATCTGATTTTTACTCAAATGCCATCTCAGTGAAGCCTTTCCTAACTACCCTATCTAAAATGATAATACAGTCATCCCTTCTTTTTTAGGCCTTGCTTACCCTGCTTGATCTGCAGCCTGTCAAGATTAATTGGAAAATTCCAGAAATAAACAATTTACATATATAAAAATTAACATTATATATAAAAACCAGGGATTGAACCCAGGGACTCTTTGCCATGAGCCACATACCTAACCCTTTTATTTTTAACTTTGGGACAGGGTCTCATCAAATTTCTTAGGGTTTGCTGGGGCTGGCCTTGAACTTGCCATCCTGTGGCCTCTGCCTCCGGAGCTGCTGCGATTACAAGCGTGCGCCACCGCGCCCGGCCATTTTACATATTGAATCTTAATGACGACCCTATAAAGAAAATACGCTTACTATTTTTATTTTACGAGAATGAAGAAATGGAGGTCACGGAAATTAACTTTCTTAAGGTTACGGCTACCAAGCGGCCCTGCGATGTGGGGAATAAAATGAATGAAACTCGATGTGGCAGTGGGCGCGGGATGGTCACTGACAGCGGGGGAGGGACGCGGCGGCAGGGTGCGCGGAGGGCTGAGGGAGGAGGCCGGGGAGCTCTGGGAGCTGCGTGGCGGCGGCTCGCAGAGCCTCAGAACTGGGAGCTCCGGCCGTCGCTGGGCCCGGGCGCTCGCGAACCAGGAAGTAGCGGCGGGCGTCGCGCGCGGTGACGTCACTCTGGAGCCGGCGGCGAGGGGCGGGGGCGGAGGAGGAGCCAGCCGGACTCGGGGGGCGGCTGCACAGTCTCTGGGATCCCCAGGCCTGGAGGGGGGTCTGCGCGCGGCCGGCTGGCTTTGCCTCCCGTCCGGTCCCGAGCGGGCCTCCCTCGGGCAGCCCGATGTGACCGGGCCCAGCGGAGCCTGAGCAAGGAGCGGGTCCGTCGCGGAGCCGGAGGGCGGGAGGAACATGACATCGCGGAGGTGAGAAGCCCGGAGGGGCCCGGTCGGGGCCTCAGCCCGGCCCCCACAGCCTCGGCGCAGCTCCGCCCGGGAGGGGGCGCCCCGCCGGGCGCGCTCTCGGGTCCCGGGTGCGGGGCGGGCTCCCTGTAGCCCGCTCGGCCGCCCGGGCCCGGGGCCCGGCCCGCCGCGCCCCCACCCCTCGGGTCCCCATTCATTTCCTGCCTCCCCGAGTTCCGGCTCCGCAGCCCCGGGGATGCCGGTCGGTCCCGGGCAGGTAGAGCCGCCCGGGGAACCGCGGACGCCAGTGGCCCGGCTCGGCGCCGCATTCCTGACCCATTGCCTCATGAGAATTGCCTCATGGTGATTCCGAAATAGCCCCGCTCGCTCGCAGAGGCTCCTTGGCCCGGGACGGGGGGGGGGCAGTTGCGTGGGGCTGGGCGCCGATATCCCAGCCGCTCTGGGGTCACTCGGCCGCCCGAGTGCACCTGGGGACTTCACTCGGGACCCCTGAGTCTTTTGTGTGCCCCTTTGCATCTCCTTCCCCTCACCCCTCACGTGCCAGAAATGGAAAAACTGACGGTGTCTGCAGTCACTAAAAGTATTTCCTTCCTCCGCGATCTTCGCTTTGGGAGGTGGGAGGGAAGGGAGCTTTATCTAATTATTTAATCCTTCAGTACAACCTTAAAAGTCAGGTAACTGTAGTGGTTCCCGTTTTCCGGGTGTGGAAACTGAGGCTCAGAAGTAACCTTCGAGTGAGTGACAGGATGCGAAACAGGGTCAGAAGGACGATTCGTGAGTTAATGAGGCCCCTTGAAAAGTCAAGGTAAAAATGGGACTCTTAACTAACATTTACTTAGCGCTCACTCGAAGGCAAACACGTTTAATCCTCAGGACCAATCCTCTGAGGCCCATACTATTATCCCGTTCTAAAGATGAGTAAACTGAGTTTCAAAAGTGAAGCAATTTACCGTGCCACTCAGCCAATAAGTGATGGAGTCAGAATCCCCAGTTGCTGTTGTTACTTTGTAATTATTTCTACTCATTTGTAAGCAGTAATTTTGTTGTTAAACACTAGTGTGACCTCTGGTTTTCGAATAATGATACTGCTACTTTGTATCACCACTCTTCACAGACGGCTCACACATAAGACGCATTGTCTAGTCTTTGCTACGATTCTCCAGTTAATGGCCTTTACCTTAGACATATGAAAAATGATTTCAAGCTGTTGGGGCTATTTGAATGAGGGACTTTTCAAAATGTTAGGAATGTCTCCTCAAAACGCACCTGTGTGTTATTCATTCATGGATCTGAAATAAAAAGGGAAGGGGGGAAAAAAAAAGCCTGAAAACTTAGGAAGTGAGTGACTTGGACAGGTCTCCTGGCAAGTGCTTGCAGAGCTGGGTAATATATAACTGCATTTCATCAGAGCCCTATATAGCCCCAAATGTTCTAATTCTTTAGGGAGCTTTTAAATAAAACAGTTGTCTGTTCTTTAATCTGTCAAATAGTCATTGAGCCTTTTGTTCCTTGTGTCTGCTCTTCCAGACAAGTAAGGATCTGCTGCTCTAGGAGACAAAAAGACTGGGGCTGGGGGTGGGGAAAGGGGCTGGGGAGTAATAGACCCTACATTGTCCAGCTTCTTAGTTTAGAAGCAGGGACGTGTGGGCATAGTCAAAGCAGCAAGTGGTCAAGATGACAGTTAGAAATGGAGTCATTCCTTCTCCCCTGCAGCCCTCCTATTTCGTACTCACCTATTATAGGAAGAACTGTGACCCACCTAAAAAATCAGGTTATGAGCATAGCATACATAATTGGTGATTGCTATTTTTGTTTATTTTTTCTTCTTCTTGGTGATTATTTTTTGACTATCTTTATTGAAATATAAATAACATGTAATCAATTGTATATATTCAAGCATATTATTTGATAAGTTTTGATATATGTGTACTTGGGAAACCATCACCTCAGTGAAGATAATGAACATATTCCTCACCCTCCTGACGTTTCCTCCTGCTGTTTATATTCCCTCCCTTGTTCTTAAGCAATTACTATTCTGCTGTTAGTGTATATTAGTTTGCATTTCCTAGAATTTTATATAGAGGGAATTAGTATATACTCATTGTGTCTTTTTTTTATGCTCAACATAAATTAGACTGAGATTCATAAACATTGTAGTATGTATCAGATTCATGCAGTATTCCACTGTACCATACAATCCTGCAGTGTGCTTAGCCACCCACCTGTTGGTGGATAATTGATGTTTCCAGAGTTTGACTGTCACAAGTAGTTGCTGCAAATGCTTGTGTAGAAGAGTTTGTGTGGGCACATAATATCATTTCTCATGCCTACAAGTGGAATGACTGGCTCATACAGAAGATGTATATTTGACTTTGTTGGAAATTGCTAATCTGTCACATGCTATAATGCCAGTGATGTGGGAGGCTGAGACAGGAGGATCCCAAGTTTGAGGTCAGCCTGGGCAATTTATTGAGACCCTGTCTCAAAATAAGTTAAAAGGGCTGGGTGTGGAGTTCAGTGGTAGAGCCCCCTGGGTTTACTCCAGTATCTCTCTCTCTCTCTCTCTCTTACACACACATACACACACACACCACACACACACATACACACACAAAAAAAAAAAAGAAAGAAAGAAAGAAAAAGAAAAAAAAGGGGTTGGGGATGTGGCTCAAGCGGTAGTGTGCTCGCCTGGCATGCATGGGGCCAAGGTTCGATCCTCAGCACCACATACAAACAAAGATGTTGTGTCCACTGAAAACTAAAGAATAAATTAAAAATTAAAAAAAAAAAAAGAAAAGAAAAAAAAAGAAAAGAAATTGCTAAATTGCTAATCTGTTTTTACTGGCCAGGTAGGAATGGTGGCACATGCATGTAATCCCAGAGGCTGAGGCAGAAGGATTGGGAGTTCAAAGCCAACCTCAGTAACGGCAAGGTGCTAAGCAACTGAGTGAGACCCTGTCTCTAAATAAAATACATAAAGGGGCTGGGGATGTGGCTCAGTGGTCAGGTACCCCTGAGTTTAATCACTGCTACCAAAACACACCCCCCCCACCCCCAAAGTGATTATACTGCTTTCAACCACCACTGCCACTCTTGCGCGCACACTGGGGATTGAACACAGGGGTGCTCTACCAGTAAACTACATCCCCAGCCACCCCCCCACCCCAAATATGTTTATTTATTTTAATATTTATTTTTTTAGTTGTAGTTGGACACAGTACCTTTATTTGATTTACTTATTTTTATGTGGTGTTGAGGATCGAACGCAGGGCCTCCACATGCTAGGCAAGCACTCTCCTGCTGAGCTACAATGCCAGCCCCTGTCCCCAGCCCCTTCAGACTGGCCTTGAACTCATGATCCTCCTGCCTCAGCCTCACTAGTAGTTGAGATTACAGGCCTGCGCCACCACACAAAGTTTATAGTTTATGCTCCTACCAGCAGGCTATGACAGTTGCATGTGACTCCTCTGCATCCCCCCCAACACTTAGTATGGTCAGTCTTTTTAATTTTAGTCATTATAATAGATGTGTCATTTCACTGTAGTTTTAGTTTGTTTTTCTCTAATGACTAATCATGTTGATTTTCTTTTCATGTGCTTATTTTCCATCTGTATATTTTCTTTGATGATGTGTCTGTTCAGTCTATTTTAGTTTGTATATGTGTGTGTGTGTGGTTCTGGGGACTGAACCCAGGGGCGCTCTACCACTGGGCCACGTCCCTGGCCTTTTTAAAGATTTTTTCTCTTGCAACAAAAAACAACAACAAAAAGCTTTATTTTTATAAAATAAAGTTGCTGAGACTGGCAACTCAAACTTGTGATCCTCTTGCCTCAGCCTGGACTAGCTGGGATTACAGGGGTGGGCCATTATCCTGGAATTATTTTTTTTCTTATTAGTGAGGTTTGAGAGTTCTTTTTGTAACTTGAGTACAAGCCCCTTATCAGAGTTGCAGATTTTTTTTCCTCCTAGTTTGTGACTTGTCTTCACTTTAAAAACAAAACAAAACAAAACAAAAAACACCCCCCCCCCAAAAAAAAACAAAAAACCCCAGTGTTTTGAAGAACAGAGGTTTTTAATTTTAATGAAGTCCTGTTTATCAATTTGTTTTTGTATGGATCATGCTTTTGGTATTATTTCTGAGAAATCCTAGCTTAACCCAAGGGTTTTTTTTTTTTTTTTTTTTGTCTTTTACAAGTTTAATAGTTTCAGGCTTATGATTCACTTTTTTAACCCCCGGTACAGAGACTTGAATGTAGGGCCTTCTGTATTCTACGCAGTATCCACCACTGAACTATATCACCAGCACTCTATATTTTATTTTGGTCAGTGTCTCACTGAGTTGCCAAGGCTGAAGGCTGGCCTCTAAGTGTTGCTTTTCCTGCCTCTGCCTCCTAAATTGCTGGGAATGCAGGAGTGCACCACCAGCCTAGCCCGACCTCTTTCTTGCATGTAGATATCATGTCTTTGCAGCACTATTTGTTGAAGAGACTATCTCCAATGAGTTTGTACCTTGGTTGGAAATCAGCTGTCCTGTTGTGCACAGTGGTGCACACCTATAATCCCAGTGACTAAGAGGCAGAGGCAGGAGCATTCCCAGTTTGAAGCCAGCCTGGGTAATTTAGTGAGACTATCTCAAAATAGAGTAAAAAGGACAGGAGATAGAACTTGGTGGTAAAACAAAACAAAACAAAAAGGAAGAAAGAAAAATCAGTTGTCCTTTTATGTGTGGGTCTGTTTTTGGAATCTATTCTGTTCCATTGACCTATTTGTCTATCCTTATGCCAGAACCACATGGTCTTGATGATTATTTAGCTTATTCATTTATTTATTATTTATGGGGGTTTAACCCAGGGGCACTCTACCACTGAGTTACAGCTCCTGCCCTTTACTTTTTTTCTTTTTTCTTTTTTTTTAATATTTTTAAAGGTGTGATGGACATTCATTCATTCATGTGTAGTGCTGAGAATTGAACCCAGTGCCTCACACATGTTCGGCAAATGCTC